CTCTCTCTCTCTCTGTGTGTGTCTCTCTCTCCAGTATGTTTGTCTGTCCTTAGTAGACCTCTAGACATTTAGATGTATTCTAAACATCCTGAACTTCTTGAAATATCTCGCTACTTTAAGACGGTGTAACATACCACAACGTAACACCAGGCCCATATCTAGCCGGGGCGCTTCGTTAGCTCAGTTGGTATCACGTTTAACCACGGAGTGGAAGGCCCTGGTTCAAATCCCAGACTGGTCGCTCTTGAACTTGAGTCGTTTTGCGGAGTTTTCTAGGCTCTCAACCCACTTGGTTCGGTCCTTTCGGAAACGGACATTAAATTCGGAGGTCCCGCCTCTTCAGTAATCTAATAGTGTTGATAGTAATGACATTAAATCCATACACTTACTATTCACTTACATCTAGCCAAAAGCCTATGTGCACTGATCACAAACTGAGTGCCCCCTTGAACTAAACCCAAAGTTTAGTCACACCTGTCAAGTCCGGCTGCTGAAAAAACTTCCTTTTGAACCCATAATTGTTACAGTTAATGCACAAGTTCGGTAGAATTTCAGTTTCATTTTGTACCGACTCCTGTTTCCGGATCTGAAACTCAGTGCTACCAAAATGATGTAGATCTAGGACATAACTGGAAACATGGAGGTAGTACAAGCAGCACTAAGTCGACGATCGACACGGTTCACACCGAGCCACGGGAGCGCGGGCACTGATCACACGGAGAACAAAGGTGTTGCATCGTGGGGAAATCAGGCGCTCGTCAAAAAAATGAAATTGAAGAAGTCAATACTTGTTGGGGTCTCTTTTTTTTAAAATCAAAAACACGAAAAAAGTACATTTGCAGTTTCCAAGGACAAGTTAGAGGTCACCCAACTCTGAAACTAGGCGGGCGACCCCCACCTTCTTCAGTGACAGACATATCCACTTATATTCAAGACAGCTGGCCACTTTCTGTCTTCAAAAGCAAGACAAATGAACAAGCTTTATGACGATAGCAGTAACTCCACATCCCCAAAGAGTGACGAGCAGCTGATTTCACCGCGTCGTGACACAAATTTTGTATCAACTATACAGATTATCAACACGCACCAGTAGAAGTGTCGGCTTGTTTTATTTTCACGTCAGTACTTCTGGGTTCGGATAGAAGCTGGTCACTGATGCCAGAGAGGTTTAGAGTGCAGTGGGAATTGAGACTGGCGTGTGTGATGTTGCGGTTAAGCGTTTTGCCGCCGCGCACAGAAGACCGGAGTCCGATTTCCATGAAAGGAAAATATTTATCTAGTAGATCGGTCTGTCTGGTTGGACCTGACAGGCAGAGTCGATACACGCTACTTAAATTATCTATATATGTGTCAATGGGGATGTAAAACACCCTATATATTTTTAATGTTTGAAGAGGAGAACTGCGTTTATTCTTTAACCCTAGAGTCGGAGAAAGATCTGTGGTTTCCCATTTGCGACTAACTGCATTTATGTTACTTCTCTATTAGGAAAGATTGCATCGTCTTTTATGGTTTCAAGGTTAGGCTCTGTGCCTCTGCAAGCAAAAGACGTGAATTCAGACCTATTTCTTCGAGTATCATATTGTATCCCATTCAGCCTCAGTTCGATCTGGCAGGTGGGATCGAAGTAGCCCGTGTCCTCATTGCCATTTTTTCTCACCCATTGCCAGAGTACAGGCCACCAACAAGAGCTCTCCGTCTATTTTATCTAGGCTATAGTCTGCATTGTTCAGCTGCATCCCACCTGCTTTAAGTCCGAATTTAAGCCCCTCCACCGAGTGCTTTTCAAACTTGCAAGTTAGCCGTGCAGATTTCGGCGGTGAGAAGTATAATAGGCGGTGTCCATTGCCTTTATCGGTTCTGTTCGGTTCAGTTATATCAGTTTTTGCCGTTTTGGGGCTAGCCGGATTGTCTTCCACGAGGGGGGCAAAACCGACAAAAATTGATGACGACTTTCAATAACAAACATGTTTATTTTCAAGGCCTTGCGTCAGGCGATTGGTTTGGGCTGTTGGTCTATTTATATGAGCGCTAAAACCGCCATAAACCTAACCGAACAGAACCTAA